TTTATTATTTTTTTTTTTTTGGATTTTGCTCATACAGTGAAAGGCAATGGGGGTCTAAAAAATAAAAACTGAGAGACATTTTAAAATACAGATGTGGAAACAGCATGAGGGTGACTAAATGATGAAAGAAGTTTCATTTTGTGGGAACTTTCCCTTAAATATTGCATGATAAATAAATGAATAATATTCACCAATGGCAAATCCCAGCCCTCCATTGGGACCAATAAGCCCATAGATGTCTTTGGCAAAGGGAACCTACAACAAATTCACATAATGTTACAATCACCACAGTCCTTTTATATATATATATATATATATACTCTACCGTTCAAAATTTGGGGTCGGTAAGATTTATTAAGATTTTTGAAATAGGTCTCTTGTGCTCACCAAGAGTGTATTATTTAATGAAAAATACAGTAAAAACAGCAATAATGTGAAATATTATTACAACTATTTGAATATATTTTAAAATGTAATTTATTTCTGTGATGCAAAGCTGAATTTTCAGCATCATTACTCCAGTCTTCAGTGTCACACGATCCTTCAGAAATTATTCAAATATGCTGACTTGGTGCATTTCTCATTATCATTATCAAAAATATTTTTTATAATATTTTTGTGGAAACCATGATTCATGGTCAGGGTACTTTGATGAATAGAAAGTTAAAAAGAATAGCATTTATATGAAATAGCAATCCTTTTGTAACTTTATATAAGTGTCTTTACTGTCTTTTTTGATCAATTTAATGCATCCTCGATGAATAAAATTAATTTCTCTAAAAAAAAAACTTACTGACTTTTGAACCACAGTGTATTTGTTTTGTACATAGTTCAAGCATGCATGAGCAAAGTGTAATGAAATGTGATTTGATATGTGATACTCACACAGAGCAGACTGATGCCGACTATAAGCATGCCGATCATGGAACACAACCACCTACATCAGAGAAGCATTTCTAAATGATGCAGCTCTTATCTCTGTAGACAGAGCTTTTTCCACCAAAATGACTTATACATGTGCTTTTCAATTTATTTATTTTGAGACATGCAAGAAAATGTATTACCTTCCCATTTTATTGGCCAGTACTCCAAACAGATTGGTCCCAATGAGGTAAGAAACACTGGCTGGTAGGAAAGCCATACCTGCAATATCAGTAGCCATGATTAGCTCAGTCAACAGGACCACAGAAAAGATCAGCAAATAAAACACAGTCATTATGTTTAACAGGGTCATAGGAGCCATCAGGAACCTCTTAGCTGGCTTCTTCCAACTCATATCAGTTGACTGAAGTATACAGAAAAACCACAGATCTTCTCAAGAAGCCGCATGTTTCACTTAGTCCTCCCTGAGAAGGCATCTAATGACAAAATGGTTCTGAATTCTTTCAAGTGAACTACTTTAACATTACATTTGTGTGAGAGAGGAAACAAACAGGAATTAAATACAATTACTTAAATAAGCAGGAAGTGAATTTGTTTCAATCACATTTTAATGACTTGGAATAATAGAGTTTCTTACCAAGCTGCCATTTTGGCGAGCACATTGTTTGCATCATCCAGATGGGAAGAGTGGGCTCTAAAATAGCCACCCCCATGTTTGCAAAGCACAACGACCCTGTAATTATATAAAGGAACCATAATCTTACTCATCATTCACTCAGCACAGCTCCTCATCCGCTTCATTTACAAATCGTTTTAGCTGTTCACATCAAAACATTCGGCCGTGATTATATGGAGGCATATGTGTAATTACAGAAACTGCTACTACACCTCCACGACAACTTTTCAAACTGGTTTAACTGTGGGCAGTATTTGAGGATGTATTTGATTTGATTTTATTTACACACACACCTGCACTAATGAGTATGTAGGGATCCTTCAGCAGGGTGAGTAATGGTGTTCCTTCCACACTCTGAACAGAAGACACATAACAATCATAGGAACACTAATGCACACATTTCTTATCTTTTATCAACTTTTATAACTCGCATGAACTATTGAATGAACTACTCACCCCTGGAGATATTTTTGAGGGCTGAAGGATGCAGAGCTGGAGGGCTGGTGTTGAAATTGGGTATTGAAAACAATTTGATGAATCACTGTAGTGAAATGTTACTCAATGAATTTAAAAGGGCAAATACTAATATCTTACCTCCATCAAACATAGCCAAGAAGGCAAGGACGAGTTGGGTATTGAAAACAGTTGGATAAATAATGAGATGTAATGTCCCTGAGAAGGCAAACACTGCAGAGAAAGCATTCAAGTCAGAGTCTACCTCATTTCACTTAGTTTACACTAGTCATATAAAGTGAAACCATATAAAACACATCAATAAGCATAAATATATTGAATATATCTCACTCAGTGTGCACAGTAGTGTATTCAAACAACTTTACGAACAATAATTTTCATATTGTTGCTCCATCGTAGTTAATCCTACACAATAATGTTCATATTCAAAAGTCAATGTTTGATTATATTTTGTTGACGTTTAGCATGATAAGCACTGAGTCACCACTTGATTTCCCTGTTGAAAAAAAACAGCATATGCCGATTAGGTTTGTTTTGAAGCATGGCAGCTGGTTTGAGCTGGTTTAAGCTGGTCCTGAGCAGGAGCTAACCAGTTTAGGACCAGCACATGGCCAGCTTAAACCAGTTCAAACCAGCAACCATGCTTCAAAACATACCTAACCAGCATTTGCTGTTTTTTTCAATAGGGTTTCAATGTAAAATCTGGGTCCTCAAGCAAAAAGAGCTGAAAACCAACATCCTGTTCTCATTCACATTCATGTCCTCCTCAATTTCTTCATCATAAACACAGCATATTCATATGCATGATTATCAAATTTTAACCAAACATTTGGTATGCATTTTGTAGTTTAATATACATTAACACATTGCCATGATTAAATGGATAGTTCACCCAAAAATGAATATTCTGTTATCATTTACTCACCCTAAAGTTCCAAATCTGTACTTTCTTCTGTTGAACACAAAAGATATTGTGAAGAATGTTGGTAACCAAATGTCATCGGGGACCAGAAACTGTTTGGGTATCCTTCAAAATATCTTATTTTATGTTCAGCAGAATGAAATGTACAGGTTTGCAACAATTTGAGTAAATGATGACAGAATTTTAATTTTTGAGTGAACAATAAGATCAATAACATGCATTTAGAAAATGGAGTGGATGAATTTCCATTTCATGTAGAGATTAATAGTCATCATAAAGTAGATGGCACACAATATAAAGCAATTAATAGTTATTAAATAGTATTTATGACTTACATCATATAACATGACTTACTTATTGTGGAGACAAACATGATGACAAACCCAGCAAACATCGGTATGTGATATCCAATCCTATAAAACAGGCACGCATCAGAAATTTGAATTAGATCATTCAGCCCTCTATTGTCATTATGTAGGCTACTAACTTCATCTAAATAACAGTCATTTTAGATGATCTGCTCAGAGCGTTTATCTACCTGTTAGTCAGTGGGCCCACAAATGGGTTGACCATGAGCTGCACCAGGGCTTTGGAGGCAAACAGCAGCCCAACCCTCACATTCTCCTCTTCCAAAAACTCACTGTCCTCTTTACACCTGTGTCGCTCAGCAGAGCTGCCATTGAGCCCTGAACTTCCATTAGCGCCGGAGGAGATGGCAGTGCTGCTGGTGTAGGTGCTGTTGTCGTACAGAGAGAAGACAGAGGTGTAGGTGGGCTGAGCCTCAGAGGGGGCAGCAGACGGGCGCTCTTGTGTCTGGTGCTCTGTGGCATACAGGAAGGTTGGGATGATGGGAACTGGAGAGAATGAGAGGTGACGTGAGGATGGGAAGAGGAAGAGCCGGTACCTGTGTGCGTGTTTGCGAATAACCCTTCCCCTTCGCCTGCTGCGGACTGTATGAGACAGAGGTCAGGGCAGATGCAAGCAGATAAATGTCATGGGCATGATGACAGCAGAGTCGCTTGTCCAGCATAATGCTTGACTTTCTCTCTCATGTTTTGATTTCTGTATAATGCTTTTGCCTATACAGAGTGGACTCAAAAGGAAACCAGTAATGCAAATGGCTAAAAGTATGTGGACATCTTATTGTAATCACCAAGTACAGGTACTTACATACACTCACTGTCCACTTGATTAGGTACAACTGTTCATTAACGCAAATATCTAATAAGCCAATCACATGGCAGCAACTCAATGCATTTAGGCATGTAGACATGGTTGAGACGACTGAGCATCAGAATGGGGAAGAAAGGTGATTTAAGTGACTTTGAACGTGGATGGTTGTTGGTGCCAGACGGGCTGGTCTGAGTATTTCAGAAACTGATCTACTGAGATTTCAATGCGCAACCATCTCCAGGATTTACAGAGAATGGTCCAAAAAAGAGAAAATATCCAGTGAGCGGCAGTTCTGTGGGTGAAAATGCTTTGTTGATGCCAGATGTCAGAGGAGAATGGCTAGACTGGTCCTGAGCTCATAGAAAGGCAACAGTCAGTAAGTTAACCACTCGTTACAACCGAGATTTGCGGAAGAGAATCTCTGAACACACAACAGACGGTCTACAACAGCTGAAGAGCCACTCCTGTCAACTGAGAACAGGAAACTGAGGCTACAACTCACACAGGATCACCAAAATACAACAGAAGATTGGAAAAGAGTTACCTGGTCTGTTGATTTCTGCTGTGACATTCGAATGATATAGGGTAGGAATTTGGCATAAACAACATGAAAGCTTGGATCCATCCAGCCTTGTATCAATGGTTCAGGCTGCTGCTGGGGGTATAATGGTGTGGAATATTTTCTTGACACACTTTGGGCCCCTTGATACCAACTAAGCATTGTTTAAACACCACAGCCCAAGTATTGTTTCTGTCCATTTTCATCCCTTTATGACCATAGTGTGCCCATCGTGTGATGGCTACTTCCAGCAGGATAACGTCACAAAGCTCAGATCATCTCAGACTGGTTTCTTGAACATGACAATGAGTTCACTAAACTCAAATGTCCTCCACAGTCACCAGATCTCAATCCAATAGAGCAGCTTTGGCATTTGGTGGAACAGGAGATTGGCATCATGGATGTGCAGCCCACAAATCTGCAGCAACTGTGTGATGCTGTCATGTCAATAAAGACCAAAATCTCTGAGGAATGTTTCTAGCACCTTGTTGAATCCATGCCACAAAAAATTAAGGCAGTTCTGCAAAAGGACTAGCAAAGCGTATCTAATAAAGTGGCCAGTTAGTGCTCTGTTGAAAAACGGCATATGCTAGGTATGTTAGGTATGTTTTGCAGCATGGAAACTGGTTTGAGCTGGTTTATGCTGGTCATGTGCTGGTCCTAAGCTGCTCAGGACCACCAGCTCATGACCCACTAAGGACCAGCTTAAACCAGCATATGCTGTTTTTTTCAACAGGGTGTACATATTGGCTACATTTAATGTGTCCAAATAACAGCAATTCCCTGCATCCATATTCCTAGTGAAAAACCTTATTATTTGTTTAGGATGGCTGTTTACTTACCCACAACTGTTAGCAGCATGTTATCCAGCAGCAGGGCCACACACACAACGACAAGCACTAGACGAGGAGAGCCCCTGCTCTCTCTGATCCAGTCCATAGGGTTCAACATAGCCATGATCCACCCCTGTCACTGGACACATAGTCATGGGTCAGATTATCACAGTATATATTTTCATGTTTGTGAGGTATTATACACTTACTGTAGATTTGATGATCTCATATTAATTGAGAGACTATATGGAATATTTGTTGACTACAACAGGTACAACATGTCTAAAGACCCCAGTGCCACATGATCCTTCACAAATCATATGCTGATTCGCTGCTTAATAAATGTTTATTATTATTATTATTATTATCAACGTTGAAAACAGTTGTACTTAATATTTTTGTGGAAACCATGATACATATCTCATACATTGTATAATAATTTAAGGCACGTAAAGTCATCTTTATTTATACAGAGCTTGATACAATACAGAGTGTTTCAAAATACTGTAGCTTCATAGTATTTAACAGGAAAAGAACAGAATCAATTATGCAAACTTAAAAAATGAGACAGATCCAAATTTGATTCTTGTGGCCTTTAAAGGGTTAGTTCATCCCAAAAATGAAAATTCTGTCATTAATTACTCACCCTCATGTCGTTCCAAACCCGTAAGACCTTCGTTCATCTTCGGAACACAAATTAAGATATTTTTGATGAAATTGGAGAGCACTCTGACCCTCCATAGACAGCAACGCAACTGAAATGTTCCCAGGTCCAGAAACGTAGTAAGGACATCGGTAAAACAGTCCATGTGACATCAGTGGCTCAACTTCAGTTTTGTGATGCTACGAGAATACGTTTTGTGCGGAAAGTAAGCAAAAATAATGACTTTATTCAACCATTCTTCTCCCCAGAGTTACCGTCTTCCGCCATTTTGGAGAGTATCACAACGCATACGCGCACTTTCCCCTCCGAACGTAAACAATGCTGATTACGTCAATTACGTACTTAGGGAACTCTCCAAAATGGCGGAAGACGTAACTCGGGGGAGAAGAATTGTTGAATAAATTACGTTGTTTTTGTTTACTTTGCGCACAAAAAGTATTCTCGTAGCATCACAAAACTGAAGTTGAGCCACTGATGTCACATGGACTGTTTTACCGATGTCCTTACTACGTTTCTGGACCTGGGAACATTTCAGTTGCGTTGCTGTCTATGGAGGGTCAGAGTGCTCTCCAATTTTATCAAAACTATCTTAATTTGTGTTCCGAAGATGAACGAAGGTCTTACGGGTTTGGAACGACATGAGGGTGAGTAATTAATGACAGAATTTTCATTTTTGGGTGAACTATCCCTTTAACGCCATTGCATCCTATCACAGAGTATGACTGAGGGCCTAAATCTTAGAAAATGTACAAATATGTACAAATTTGATTAATATATTTATAATAATAATTTAAAAACTATTTTAACCTGCTTTAAATGTTTTTTGTTTTTTTCGACTCAAATTTGACACAAAGATGGAACTTTTTTTACATGGAGCAGTTACTGTAGACTGCGTTTATTGTGTTTGTTTAGATGTTAGATCCTCAGTTGCTAGTTTGAGGTTTGGTTGTTTGCTTGTGTACACAAGCCTGGCACCAAGAAGTGGTATTAAAAGTATCTTTTCCAAAATCTGGTCGGAAATTAGCCAAAGAAATTAGAAGTCTAAACTTTTAAAACATGTTTGAATTGGACTGCAAACTGTGCATTATTAACACCTGGAAATACTCAATTCTTCCACAGAAAAACAATATATAAACTATGGTGTTTTTCATATGTTATTTTGATAGGGTCCATTTGAAAAAGGCAAGTCAATGGACGATAAGCATCTTGCAGCACCATGATTTATCTAAACCCAATGATATATTATGAATTACAAAATGACATTATGGTGACATTATACATTTAAAAATATGTTTGATCAGAGATGGCCTAAAATGTTTGAGAACTTACTGCTCTAATTGACATCCAACTAATATCCAGTAGGGACCCAAAATGTAGTCACTATACCAGTACTCAGGCCCCTATGCAGTCTTCTAGAATGTGTAAAAGGGCTTGAGGACAGGTTTGTTCTAGATGAGCTCTTTGCTCCAGGGCAGGAATTACGTGCTGTGTGATTGAGTTTCAACAAAATGATTACAGCTGCTGTAGGGCACATGAGGAACAGCCTCAGTGTTTCAGAACGCTCCTTTTATCTTTGCCTGTCAATGTCTTATCAATTTAGTTTGTGAAAAAGAGCAGCATTTTGTGTTTTTGATGTGAATTTCTTTTCTTGTGTACATAACTCAAAGATAATGTACTTCTGTCATATGCTGTGATGAATGCTAATGCTAACATTTTATTAATTTACACTTTCTAAAGTTTGGGGTCATTTAATGTATGCATTTCATTTTATTTTAAGAAATGCAATATTATTATTCAGCAAGGGTGCATCAATTGATCAAAAAGGACAGTAAAGTCTTCATAATTATTGAAAATTATTGAGCAGCACAACTGTTTTCAACATTGATAAGAATAATAAATGTTTCTTGAGCAGCAAATCAGCATATTAGAATGATTTCTGAAGGATCCTGTGACACTGAAGACTGGAGTAATGATGCTGAAAATTCAGCTTTGATTACAGGAATAAATTGCATTTTAAAATATAAAACAGTTGTTTTTAACCTATATTTATATTTCGCAATATTACTGTTTTTAGTGTATTTTTGGTCAAATAAATGCAGCACTGGTAAGTACATAACTTTTGATAATAGATGAATTCAGAATAATTAATTTATTCTTAATTCGTGCAGTTGAGTAGCGTTCTGCTTTTCGGTTCCTTTCAAAAATCCGAAGTGAATTTTGTAGTATTTCCACTCTGTTCCTGTCCCGTCCTGTTATAAGCACATACAATAAGAGCTGATCCACAAGTCAACACCTGTGTCAATACTTGCATGTGTGCAACATGTTGCCAACATTAGTTAACTCCCTATTCTCTTAACCAGCTATCACTTAACCTGCCAAAATCATCATTTTGTGTTCCAAACTTTCAATACTTCTTAAAGAGAGGGTTTTCTGTGTGGTTTTAACCTTTACCCATTAACCTATTAGTATTTTGGACACTACTAATCATGTATTTTGAAACACGCCTCCATAATATTTAATAATGAAAGTAAGAAAAATCATCATAAAACACAATTGTCTGACATCAGGAAACAATCTGTAGTCCTTAATCAGTCTCTCGATCAAGACATGAAAAGTGAAAGTGATTAATGAATCAAATTATTGCCTTTTATGTAAAAGAAATATCTTAAGCAATACTTTTAAATGTAGTCTTACCTTAGGATGCATTCTCTTCTTCAGTGCACGAGTGTATGTCCAGTGCAGGTGTGTGTGATGCAGGGGTCACTTGTTGCTGGAGGGAGGGAGGTGTCTGTGTCCACCGCCACCTGCATGTGATCTGTTGAGGGGTCTTTTGGAGGAAATATACAGACATGCACACGTACACGCACACTGCGTCATAGCAAGAGTAATTGTGTGCATCTGCTGCTCTTTATTGGGTAGGTGAATGACCTGCAGGCTTCTTTTCATCACAATGAGCCTTTATCTGTGATCTCTCCTAGACTCAACACACACAATCAGCAGCCGCTGCTACTTTTCACTTGTGAATACTGCTCAGTCAGCGACCTAATCGCTGCACTATGAAACCAATGGTGACTGTTCATTATGTGCCACGCTAAAGTCTTCACAATAATATCAAAAGTAAGAGAGCAGTAGAGTGACAGTGCATTTCTGTTACAGATGCATCATAACCTGTGATCATATGGTTCTGTTTTCTGCCTGTGTCAGTTTCATTTCCTGTGTAATGTTAATCCATTCAGCCACTGAACATCTATGGAAAATGTTAAATGACTCAACAGATTTCACCTTTGCCCTGTGCCATCTCTGGTAATTCAAATATCCCAACACACACACACACACACACAAACACACAATATAACCTCATATAATTACTCAGGCTTTCAGGTAAAACACTTAATATGATGAACTATGATTACTTCGAATAAAATTTTGATGAACTTAAATAAAATATAAACGCATAAAATATAAATATTGAATAAAAGTAAATAAATTCAAACTTAAAAGCAATATAGACATACAAAAACCTAAGAAAACTAGCAAAAGACAACTAAATTGCTAAAACTTTAAAATACAAATTAAAATATTAAACTATAAAAATAATGACTCAAGTACATGACAAGTACATTTGTAAATCAGCCTGAGGGTTTGAAGACTGGTGGGTGATCTTCCATCACCTGCTTTCTGTTCAGCACAAATACACACACACACACACACACAGAGAAAGAAAACACAACCAGTTCTGACAGGAATCATTTCATTTAATTAGAGGAAATTGTATTGTTGGTTTAAAATGGAATCCTACCTTCGTATAGAACAATTCTGTAGGAATATAGGTGACATTTCTGGAAAAGTAAAAAAAAACAAAAAAAAAACACGTAAAACAGTTCACACAGCTGACAGTTGACATTAGATAATGATAGTGTGAGCTAGGTTTTATAATGTTAAATAGCAAAAACGTACAATGTCAAGTTTGGTAAAGAGGCTCAAATAAACAGGCTACCCATAATCCCTTGCCATTGAATAATGTGTGTTTTAGTGAAGCATTATAAAGACATGTAATGTACATATTTGTTATTCAGAATTAATAATATTTAGAATACATTTTGTTAAAAAAGTTACATTTTGTTTCCATTTGTTACCATTCGGGTGATTAGTGTTTAGAACAACTACTGTAAAGTAGGTTGGTGCATTGAGGTGAGCCTTTGGATTTGCACAACTAACTGATACTTAAACTTAATTTTTTGGTTCGAAAGCTCGAAAAGCACAAAAAAAAATAGTAACATACAATAATAGCCTACATTAATAATATATATTAATATGTTTCTAAATATGTTTGAGCTGATTGAACTCAACAAAGTTTTTCATTAGTTGAGTATATTAAAATTGTCTTGAAGGTTGCTTTAATTTTTTTAAAGAGTTTTCTTAACAGATAGATAGATAGACAGACAGACAGACAGACAGAC